TCCTTCAAGGTCACATGAAGGTCATTTCAACATAACCATATAATAGACCACTTGATATACTAAAACTTTTGTATTGAACATTTTTTTCCATATGCATTATTTTCCAAGATATTTGACCGTTGCCGAACTTTCTCCCATCACTGTATATATACATACACAATGTGTGCGTGTGCGTGTGTGTGTGGTGGAAGAAAACACATCTTCGACTAAATGTGTGAAACCAAAGGCTTCGAAAATAACCTGAGTTTCATGTTTATGAATTTTCATTTGTTTTACATCATAAGCATACGAATTAGTTGTTAGAAAGACAGTGAATGTGCCAGAAAGAAAAGACATTTTGTCACGAAAATTGTTACTCTTCCCGACCACGTATGTATGAAATTTTCCAATTCCAAAAATTTGCATTGTGTCGAAATGAAAAATCAGTGAATATATTTATATGAACAAATTTTCAATTAACCAAATTTGCTCGATGTTCGCGATTTTCACAAAATTAGAATATGCATAACACCGAATTTTAATGTCACAAATTCACAATGTAAATTTGTGATGAGTTTGTAATTGTAATTTTTTAGAGATCTGTTAAAATTCTGTATAAAACAAAATTAGGTTTCTAAATATTCGTTCACTTTTGCACTCGATAAATAATTTTCGGAATTATAGTGTACTTCGGAAACTTGCATATTCCGTAACTATATATGCCCCAGTCATTACGTTTTTAAAGCCACCACAGTCTGGATGAAATGCATTATACATTATATGTGAACACTACGAGCTTTATACGGGTATTTTTCTTGTCTGCGCTTTCTATTTCTTCAATATCTTCCTTAGTGGCCAAAGGAAAGCTAGTCAGAGGCTCGTACGGGGGTGGCACCCAGTTGGACACGACTCAATTGGACACGAGCCACTCACAGCGCTTGAAACAACAAAGCTCCTAGGCACCAGGTCGCTGTGATTGGTGGTATCCAATCGAGCCGTGATCAATCGGGATCACCCCTTCGTACAGTGTTTCCGACATAAACGCTGCTTCTCCCGGACTTCCATGTGTGTTCCCTTCATCTTTTTAATTTCTTCCTGTACTTCTCTTACTTTCCTTATAATTTCTTTTTGGTTGTTTAGAATTGTTTTCTGATTCATTATTAGTTGTGAATTTTGCTCTTTTATTGATCTATGTAATTAATAATAAAAGCATTTTTTAAATCAAAATTTAAGTACTGATGTTATGTCGGAATAATATGAACTATATGTTTGGAAATATTGTATTTACTGTAAAATATTACTATAAAATATTTCGCTCATGTTTTCCTTATTACAGTCTGGATTTGTTTGAACAGCCACAAGTGTATGCCTCTTGAAATTTTATTGTGAATCAGTGCCAATGGTATTTGTGCTGCCTGCATTTCATCGCCGACTTTCGGTGACAGTGTAACTTGATTAGGTGATGCAAAGCTCCTACACACAAAATGATGCATTGTTTTAACGTATAGTATACGTATAATTAACGTATAATAAATAATTAATGGACAAATTTTGGCATTTGGAAATGACAATTAAACTTTTATTAACAGTAGAGGATACAGAAAAAAATGTTAATTTTTTTAGCAAGTTGTTTTTAATTTTGTATACTTCCAAAGTACATGAAAACTAATATATATAAAATACATAAAGATATATTCGCTTACATAAGGTATAAACATTAACAATATTGAAATAATACGTTAAAATAGCGTATAAAAGATCATGCGATGACAAAAAATTGAGACGCAAGGTATTCATCAAAGGTATAAATTATTTTTATCCAACACATTATTGCGATAAAAATTTTAGTACTGAGGGTTATTTCGAAAAAAATCAACATCTAATATAAAAATCGTACTTACTTAAAAACCTCTCGTACGTCGCTTAGTTTTACTGCGTTACGACCTGGACTTATTTGTGCAGCAAAGTGTACGGTTTCGAAATTCTTATTCGCAACCGGTACCGGTAGCATTACTGCCTGCGCTCCACTTTGGATGACAATGTAATATCATTATTTCCTGCTAAAGAATTCCTAAGCAAAAAATAGTAAAGTGTATATTACAATTAATGTATGATAATTGATGGACAAGTTTTCGCATTTTGTACAATTACAATATTGCTTTTTTTTTTTTTTTTATTAAATATATAGCATTAAATCTCAAAATCAATTAAAAACACGAGTCTTCGATGTTGTAGTCGCCAATCATTTACAGATTGTATATTTATGCCAGGATAAACTGTTCTATAATTGTTTTATCAATTTATTTTGTAGAAGAAGAAAAAAAATGAATAATATTAGGTATCTAAACTTTTTGTAGTAATTTTCGGACGATTGAAAATTTGTCATAAGTGAACATCGCATATAAAACCACATTATTAATATTTGAATACCGTTAAAATTTATCAATTATACATACGATTTTCTAGAATCAACTAAAGGTGTTGAAGTGTTCGAGAAATTAATGGACGGGGCTTTTTCCTTTAATGATTCAGCTGCTGCACACTGTCTTTTAAGTTCGATCGATTTTGCGATTTCTTCAAGTGGTGCCAGTTCTCTTTTAGAATTTTTAAATACCGTATTTTCTCATGTTGATAAAAATAAGAAAATGCAGTACTAAAAAGTTGATAATTCTGAAAAAATTCTCAAAACTTTATGAGAAGAAAATAAATAATTTTTAAAAATCAAAGTCTTAAACGATCTAGCTGGATTTTAATGCTTGTATGATTCTTATGTGAATTTATATACTACGTATATAGTTCCATAGAAACGCGCGCCGAAAAATTTTCGGTCTTGAAACGCTAACTCTACTAAACTACCGCAGTAATATCACGCGCGTTTCTGTGGGACTACATACGTAGTATATAAATTCACATAAGAATCATACAAGCATTAAGATCCAGCTAGACCGTTTAAGGCTTTGATTTCTATAGTTTGTGTTATCACATGTACGGTCCTATAATGTATTATATTAAATAATTTTTGTCTCTTGCAGTTTTTCTGTAAAGTTGATAGTATTTGAGTAAAAAATTATTCAAAACTAGTATTTTACAATTTTTAGTAATTAATATCTTGTTAACTATTGCAAAAATTGCGAAATGGTAGAGGACTTTTCGACTCAGTTTAGTCCGCTCTATCTACACAAAAGTGATTGGCAAAAAAGGGACATCCTATATAAAGGATAAAGAGACGTGAGCACATATTCTAGACAACGATTTTAATAAATAGATTTTAATAAATTTTAATAATATATTATATAATCCTTCCATTAATAGCAAAAATTATTTTAACGTTAAAAAAATCAAAATGTATTTCAAACATGACGTTTTTCGTAATATCTTTCCAGTACAC